ACAGAGCCTGTGGAAGAGCAAGAAGTGCTTTAACCACTAAACCATCTCTCCAGCCACCTCTCGCTATCTTTTTAAATTAAGATGATATCACTTCAAGACCTCCTTAATTACTGACAAGCTATTACTGTTGGGAGCCGACTCCCAGCCGAGAGCAGCTATCATCTTTGCAGCCATCTCAGGCCATATACCCTGACAAGAGACTTGTTTTCAACAGCCCGCAACAGCTGAGCACACTCTGATAAACATCTTGCTTTTCTCACGTATCTTGTTTTGCAGTTTAGTGCCACCAGCTGCAAGGCGCATGTGATATCCACGCTGCTGGGTGCACGTGGTCTCCTCACTGCTAGCTAGGTGCACGTGATATCCACGCTGCAAGGCACGTGGTAAAGGGTATAAATACCCAGGATTTCCTTCCAATGAACGAGACTTGGTCAGACTCCCTGTCTTGTCTCCATTCTTCACGTCTCCATCCCCACTCTCTCTCTTGCTAGGCCCTGACCCGCGGACCGGAGCAGCAGAACGGGCAGCTACAAAGTGGCGCCTCAATGTTGGAGCTCCAGTAAGCGGGATACAGTGAAGGACAGTGGGAATTGGAAGTGTGCATCCTTACTCCTGCGCTGGAGACCCTGCTGACTGACCCGAACAGGCAGCTACATATTACTATTATTTTATAATCCATTAAATCTCAAGCATCATGATGTCCTAAGGTAACTTGATTCTCATGAAGTACTTCATTCTAAGGACAAAATGCAGCTAGTAAGAACAGATGAAGTAATTAGAGAAAGAACTTCCGTAGATACCTCAAGCTATTTTTGCCGAAATTAAGTTCAGCAATGAAGCTTTCTCCTCAGAAACAATATGTAAAATATGAGTGTGGACTAAAGGGGAGAAAATATGCTATTTAGGGATGAACACGAGAAAACAGCCTGCTCCAATTTGTAGTCGGGGGCCATTTTGATACGATAGCTATTTTGTTTCTGTTTACTGTAAAACTCAAATTTATAATTTTTTTATAACCTGGGCTGTGCCCTACCCCCAGTAACCATAGAATGTACTGTAGACCAACCTTCTGAAGCCATCTGTTCTTGGAAATGTTTTATATCTTTTGTTCCATGAACCACTTTTCTTAACTGCCTAGTCTCTCTTCTATAACCACGCTTACATGTAAAATCCCCCACCTTGTGGTTTTATCCAATAAAGGGAGTATGGGAAATTGACTAGAAGCTACTCTCATCAACTCCACGTTATGAGGAAACAGTCTTGGATTTGTCTCTGGTGTGTACACGGATAAAGCTTACTTTAATTTGGCCATAAATTGAATCAGAAGTTCAAAGCTACCCTCAGATACACCAGGGTTTCATTAAAAAAAAAAAAGATTGTTGAAATGTAATGTGTGGATGTCAGTCATGACTTCAAATGGCTCTAACCTTGAACAGCAGTGAATTCGGGGTATATAGGGTTAGTGTAAAGACAGCCAGATTCTCATGACTAATTCTTCATGAGCTGTGTTCTTCTCCTGAGAAAAATATCCAATTCTGTATCGTTTAGTGGCTAGTCAGTCTTTTCTGTCAGGGTAGGACATTTTGGTTTATGCAAATGGGTTGTAGTTGTTTAAAACTGGCATTAATCTGTTACATAATAGTTGGAGCTTTGCTCTGAGTTGAGCTATTTTCCATCAGAGCTAAGAGGTTTTCAATTAAAGTGTAGTTTAATCATCAGATAGAGAAGACACTTGATGACTGAGGCATGGGCTGGATTCTCAGTGTTCGTTCTGTAATTGTTCCCTGTGCCCAATCAGAGTAATGAAAAACTCTGGTCTAAAGTTTGCCCAGAGACAAGACTAACTTCTATTCTTTTTTCCCCCATTTTGATTTTTGAGACAGAGTCTCATGTATCCTAGGCTGGCCTTGAACTCATGGTGTAGATGAAAGTGGCCCTGAACTTCTGATCTTCATGCTTCTACTTCCTAGTGCTGGGACTACAGGTTTGTGGCACCTTATGCCCAGGGTTACTTGGTGCTGGGGATCAAATCCACAGCTTTGTGCATGTTAGCAAGCCCTCTCCGAACTGATCTACATCTCAGCACTACAAAAATCATCTTCTAAAAACACTCGAAAGTCAACAGGAGCAGTTCACAACTGACAGGTGTAGCCGCCTGCGGCCACAAATCAACTGGGTTCACCTGAAAGGGGAGCTGGAAATGAAAAAGGGACAGAGGGCGAGAAGAGATGAAGCCAAGACAAAGTTCTCTGATCAGGGATCGAAGTTTAATGTTCAGCTCTCAATTTATAGGGAAAGCCCCACCACCGAAGCTCTTCTTGTTTCAGCCGGAGATGGGTGGGGGAACCCATCCTTTGTCACTGCCGGAGATATCTCAAGGGCAGTTATTCTTCTAAGTTCCTGTCAGCAGGCTGTACGTTTGGCTAAGGTGGGTAACTCCACCTACGTCCTATTATTTTTGGTCGATTGTGGTAAACAAGGTCTTTCCGGCCTGCTCAAGGCTGGGGGAAGGACACAGACAGGTCCTGCCCTTTTAGAAAAGTACTAAGCAATTGTAAGTATGGTTGGGCTGGATTCTCTAGTTTACAAAGGGACCCATGATGATCCTACAATGTCAATAGCCAGGCACATCGTTGCTGTAGATTCTAGCTAGAACTGGCTATCATCAGCTCCCTATGTTGTTTTCAGGTGGATTAGTGAGAGCTTTCACAGTTCTTAATCAAGTATCAAATGTAATGAGTCTGAAATATGCAACTATTGCATTTAAGCATGGTGGTATGTTTCTATAATGCCAGCAAGAAGGAGGGTGAAACTGTGAGTTCAAGGTCAGCCCTGGCTACAGTGTGAGACCCTGTCTCAAAAAACAGTTATTGGAATATGGCTTAGTTGGTAAAGTGCTTGCTTTCACTCAGGATACGCAGTGCTCGTGTAAAAAGCCAGGTGTGGCTGTGATCTCACCTAGGAGAAGGCAGAAAGATAGGAGGATTATTAAGGCTAGCAGTCAGCTCATCTCGCTGAATCAGGAACCTCCAGATTCAGTGACCTGGACTCAAAAATAAAGTGGAGAGTAATTGAGAAAGACATTGTCTTCCTTTCTAACCTCCACATCCACACACAGATACACATATCATTCATATATATATATGAATATATATATATATATTCAAACAACAAAGCAGCTATAGTATTATTTATATGCCTACTGTATATAAATGAATTTAGATTTATATGTTAGATTTTTATCACACAGTTGAAAGTAACTATCACTTTAACTATAGCACTTTAAAAATATTATTTTCCTTTAGTCTGGAGAATTTACTCTGCTTCTTAAAGTCAAAATAACAAAAAAAGCTAAACCACCAGGTCCACACAGTGGCTCAGATCTGTAATCCCTGAACACGGGAGATGGAAACCTGGGAATGGGAGAGGATCAGAGTTCTAGGTCATCTTTGCCTACATATGAGCTCAAAAAGATTCTGGTTCAAAAAAGATCACAAACAATAAAACCACATTTGTTGTCTGTCATGATTAGCACATACATTTAATCCCAGCACTCCAGAGGTAGAGGCTGTCCAATCTTTATGAGTTTGAGGACAGCTTGGTCTTTATAGGGAGTTCCAGAATAGCCTACCTAATGAAACTGTCTCAAAACAACACCCCTCCCATGAGAAGGGGAGGGAGAATGTGGGAAAGATCTGTGTGACAGAGGGACTGGGAGGAGAGGTGGGGGGGAGGGTTGATATTGGGATGTAAAGTGAATAGATAAATTAATGAAAAAAACCTACCCACAAACCCACCCACATTTGTATAAAGTAGATAAGGTCATTGTTGTGTGCCCAACCTGCCCTCTAGTGTTTCGTTTTAAGTGCTACTAAAACGTCTTAATCTCAAAATATCTGTTTAATAGGATTAAGAACTGTGTCATCAAATGAACAGAGTAAGTCTAAATCTCTGACACAGATGAACGTCACATCGTAGAAAAGTGAACGTCTTTCCAGAAGTTAGTGGCAATTTCTCTGAGGAAAGCTGCAATATCAATGGTAAATATACATATCATATTCCAAGTTTTGTTTGTTAAGTGGGGCATGAACAGAAGAGAACAGTTCAAATGTCATATAAAATTTGATCACTGTGTTATTGCTAGTATAGCTGCAGTTACATTGATGTATTAAAAGGTATTTAATGTCATAAAGATATTATGATTAATGAAGTTTTAATATAACAAATATGCATAAAGTAGATAAATAGCCTTTTAAATCTTTTAGATTTAATTTTGTTACGATATGTAGTTGTTTCTATTTATTTTGTCTTGATAAAGTTTAAAGTATTTGTGTTTGAGATCTTTAAAACTAATGTAAACTATGTTTAAAAGTGAGGTCATTATCTCAGAAAAAAAATTAACTGCGTATTATATATCGTGATAGGTCTGTAAGAAGTATGAGGGTGCACTAACACATCTGAAATCCAAGCACATGGGAGACGGAGACGGGAGAACTGAGAATTTTGCACATTAAAAAGTCTCCCTGACAGACTTCAATTCTGCCTTTAGACACCCTTACTGTTTTTCTTATAAAAAAGCCAATGAAATTTAGACCCTATAGTTCTATGATCGCTATTAGTCATTGGCTTGGCTTTCTAGCACATCGTGCATATGATATCATCAGAGTTATGTTTACTGAGGCAGGGTCTTGCTATGTGGTCCAGGCTGCCTGGAATTCTCAACACTGTAGCCTCAGTCTATGCATTACCATGCCCAGCTCTATACACAGACTTTACTGACAGGAAGAATGTAAATGAAATAGGAATAAGTGAGTTTGTTTGTCTTTGAGCTGATAGTTTATGTGTCCTTATGTGTCAGACATTTTAGCATGAAGTGTCTAAAGTAATAAAGAGAAATTGACAGAGAAGTGTTTTGGAGCCCCGTGTGTTTTCAATTTCTACTTAAGCCTCAAGGAAGGAATTAAAGCAGAATGATTCTCCCTTCATAGGAACACTGGACCATGAAGCCACCATTCTTGGTGCTCTCTGTGTGTCTGCTATGGTTGAAATATTGTCACAGTGCACCTACTTGGAAGGAGACAGCTGCTACGGCTGGCAACCTGAAGGGTATGTTTGGCTTATCTGCCCTGTTTGCATGTTTGCCTGTCCTGTTGATGTTTGTAGGGACTTGCAATTGAAAGATAAGCGTATTCATTACACGTCACAGTAAAAAGTTCTCAAGGACTTAAACCCAGTACTCAGGATGTCAAACATCTGGATAAAATGGAAATTTCCATTAAGTCTCCAGGAGCCAGCATTCACATATCCAGATGTTTTGTATTATACAGATGAAACATCTTTTTGTCTGCATTTTCTTTTGTATTATCCAGCTGTTTGATACCATCTTGACACATCTTTAATGAACAGCAAGATACTTTCCTAGCATTTAAAAACTTAAATTATTAAAGTAATCTGTGTAATTAGTCAAGGGGTAGGTTGTCATAACAGTGAATCTGGTTGCTCTGTGCCCGTTGACTTGTGACCTTTGTTTGGTGATGTAGATTTGGGGCATTTAATATTTAGCAAATAAATTAGTTAAAAATGGAGTTGAGTTGGAGTCTGTAATTAAATTCAGAGGCAAGAATAATATCATCGGCATGCCACATTTGTTGGGGTCAGGATGGAAGCCAAGAAAACTCACTTCAGAGACAGAAGCCTGAAATGAAAGCTTTATTTTCTGCATGCGCAGGGAGGTGGCCGGTTAGGGATCAGAACAGTGTCCCCAAGGGAGATTGTACAACATCTTTATAGGATGGGAACACAAAGCAAGGGCGAGCAGGGTGAGCTGTCGCATTAACCAATCATATTTTGACACAAGGGGTTAAACCAGGAAGTTAACATTGGTGTCTGGGCCTTATCTGGGTCACCTGCTTTCAGGTTCCGTGAGTCAGCTTTTACAGTCGGGTCTCCTCCTGGACCCTGACCTGGAATCTAGAGTGATAAAGGGAACAAAGGAGGGGGCAAGCGTAGTCAATTAAGTCAGCACAAGCAACACATTGATGATTTGTGTGCCTTAGTTAGATAATGGGATAACGGCGACTTCGCCCTTTGGATCCTTTACTGGTTAACAGACAGACATGAGAAGCGGGATAGGAGTTGAGTTCCGGGACCCGGGAACATGAACTCAATTTTGTCCCTGCCAGCAAGGTGGATTTTGTTCCCGAGATGGCTGAACTCAGGAAACTATCTCCTAACACACTGGCTGAAGAGGAAACAGAGTGGAAGTGTTCTTACCAAGGGCCCGATGTGGTACAAAAAAAGAGACTTCTATTAGGTTACTAGTGAACCTTGTGTTATATGACATATGTTCTTGGTCTGTTGGCTTTTAGGGAGGTAAATATAACTTAAAAAGAGAAATTGTTCACTGTATTTGAAGTCCTCTGCTCTGGGTATTTCATATAAACTGTCAAGAAAACTCAGATTTTTTTTTTTCCTACTGAAAACATACTTGAATCTCTGGTGGTAGAAAAAAAATGAATAAAGGGAAACGGGGCTTTGGAAAATGACAAGATTGAGACCAAATAAGCTCAGACTTATTCAGGAGAAGCAGAAGGCATGCCCGAGAGTGGCGAATTTGTTATGGAGTGCTTTAGAGCTAAAGGCTCCAAAAGCCTCTGTTTAGAGGTCCCAAAACTGGTGGTTACAGTTTCGTAATATGATTAGGTCTTTTGGCTCTTGCAGAGATAGGAGAGGCAGATGCAGACGGAGAGGTGAAGAAGGCTTTGATTGGCATTAAGCAGATGAAAATCGCGATGGAAAGGAGAGAGGAGGAACACGCCAAACTGATGAAAACCTTGAGGAAATGCAAAGAAGAGAAGCAGGTACCACCACCGAAAACTGTCCGTTCTTAAGCACATTTGGTCTATAAAAATGGCAACAATAAATACGTGTAATTAATGAGTGACTCCTTTCCCTATATTATATTTTTTGGAGAGCAGTTTAGAGAAGATGGAGGAGAAAGCTTTAGATTTCTTATCTAGTCGTCTTCCACAGGATGCTGAACACAGGATTTGAGGACTGATACCTGGTTTAAAAGGCTGCTTTTTCAAAACGCTGTTTTTTTTAGTCTCATCTGAGTTAAGATATTGAATCAGAAGTGTTTGGAGAAATGTTGGTGAGGTCAGTGGTTTCTAGTCCCTATTACTAAAATTAAATAAATAAAAAAAAATGAGATGCTACTCTTCAATACACTTATGGGTGAAGATGGTTAAGAATTCCATATTTGGCCGGGCGGTGGTGGCGCACGCCTTTAATCCCAGCACTTGGGAGGCAGAGGCAGGCGGATTTCTGAGTTCAAGGCCAGCCTGGTCTACAGGGTGAGTTCCAGGACAGCCAGGGCTACACAGAGAAACCCTGTCTCGAAAAACCAAACCAAAAAAAAAAAAAAGAATTCCATATTTGTTTTCTTTATTTTTAAGTTTTTAAAATTATTTTATTTATATATTTACTTACTTACTTATTTTGAGTCATGGTGTCATGTAACCCAGTCTGTACCTGAAGCAGGCCTTGAACTCCTGAACCTTGCACTTCTTAAGTGCTGGAATTATGTGTATGTATCATCATACCCAGTTTTGAACTACATTTTAATTAGTCTCCTGCTGTTTTGAAAAAAAAAATCATCAGATTTGCCAGTTCTGATTAGATCACCAGTCTTAGCCTGTCATGTGGCCAACGATGAGCTTATGATGAAGGACTTAGTCTATCTTACTTCTGAAATCATGTGTGGGCTTTACCTCTTTGGATTTCTCTCCTCTCTCCAAGAATCTTTTAAATACCCCTAGCCTTTGTTGTTGTTGCTTTGTTTTTGGTTTGTTTTTTTAGAGTCAGTTTAGTTGCAGGTCAGTAAGATGACTCTGTGAGTAAAAGCACTTACCACTAAGCCTGATGACCTGAGTTCAGTCCTTGGAACTCACCTGGTGGAAGGGGAGAATGGACTTTCACAAATTATCCTCTGACTTACACGTGCATGCCCTGGCAATCTGTGACACAAATAGATAAATAAATAAATAAATAAATAAATAAATAAATAAATGTAGACATTTGAGAGTTAGTTTAGTTACAAGTAGGTAAAAATTCACTAGTCCACCTGGGTCATCATTGCTATAATTAGAAGGCAAGTAAACAGAGAACTAGGGGAGCCCTGGCCAGAACCTATAGAATGAAGGCATCTCTTCCTAAGGGCCCGTGTACAGTTGGCAGGTGGAATGTCTGAGAATACTTTAACAAATCAGAGTATATTAAATAGCACACTGAGCCAGCCCATTTTATTACACTCATCTTTTGCACTGTCAGTGGTTGTAACAGCGGCTTCTACCACTGAGCACTACATCACAGTCCAAACACTCACTGCTTGAATTTCTCTGAGTTATTTCTGTTCCAGCAGTCCTAGGAAGCGTTTCACCCTGGCGCGTGCTGCTGGCCCATCATGACTCCTGGAGACACTCGTTCTCTCCACTTTTTCATTTTCCACACTCTTTCTCTCTCCTCCTCCTCCTCCTCCTCCTCCTCCTCCTCCTCCTCCTCCTCCTCTTCCTCCTCTTGCTCCCTACCTGTGACTGCTAGCCTAGTAACTCAAACTTCACCTCTCTCTATCCGTACTCCCCACCCCCCCCATAATTGGCTCTCACCAGTTTTATTTAACCAATAGTTTTAAGTTGGTGAGCAAGGCTTACACAGCAAAGGCTCGTATATGTGAGGATTCGCTTGTCTTGGAGCAATTAGATCCTCAGGTACTGAATTTTTAGCATTTGAATACAAGCAGCATCAGACCAACCTCGTGTGTGTGTGTGTGTGTGTGTGTGTGTGTGTGTGTGTGTTCAGGAGGAGACCAGAGGAACTAGATGCTCTGGAACTGACACTAGATGTGACTGGTAGAAACCAAAACCTTGCCCATTGCAAGAGAACCAAGCACACTTAATTACTGAGATATGTCTCCAGCCTCAAATAGCCCTTCAAGATTCCCACACTATTCTGAAAATCCTGAGATGGCATGAAAATACCCTTATCCACAAATCCTGTCTGGGACATGATGTGCATACGGAGCTCTAGGGTCCTGTTGTGATTCCTATGTAGGTTATAGCAAACACCACCTGACTAACCACCAGAAACCTACAGTGAGGAACTTTGGAAGAATCGATTCAGACATAGGAGACATAGAAGATTATTAGAGCTGGGCTGATATTTGTGGGCTTAATATATGCAGTATAGCATGAGGATCTGAGTTCAAATCCCCAGCACCCCACACAAAAAACTAGAACAGAAGCACTTAATTTCAGGCACTGGGGCAAAGGGCTAGGGCAGAGACAGGCTGATTCATGGGTGTTGCTGGCTAGCCAGTCTCACCAATTGGTGAGACCCAGACCCAGAGTTTAGTGAACAAACAAACCCTGTATCAAAAGAACAAGAGAGAAAGACACCTAACTTCAATCTCTAGCCTCCACACAAGCACACACAAACACACAGCTATACATACAACACACACACACACACACACAGATCCACACACATGCATGTTATATATGATAATGTCTATAATGCCAGCACTTGAGAGGGTGAGACAGGAAGATCAGGGCCAGCTTGGACTATATAGTGAGACTCTGTTTCCCAAAATAAGCAAACAAAAGCCAAAAATACATTGATTTTTAAGAACAAAACCTTTTCTCCCATGTGTTTTTCACTTGAGGGGTACCTTAGCTCCGAGGCCTGGCACAGCCCTCATTTTCCTAAACTCCGTCTCAGGCAAGAAGTCCACTTGAGCAGTGAGGATAGCGGTCTAATCAGGGTCATAAGGAGGGGGAGGCCCTTTTGCTATAAGAACTGTGACTAGAACTCCTACAGATGTCATTGCAGCTGGCTCCTCAGCAACAGAAACAGGACGTAGCCAAGTACAGCCATCACCACAAGGGGGCGCGCTTGGAATACAGACAGGAAGAAAGAAACCACTCGCTGTAACTCATTGATTAGATACAAGATTTTGGCTTTCTTGCAGTGTCTAAATCCATACAATAGTTTACGGAAGCTTAAATGAAAGAATTAAAATATCAAGACTTGGATTCCACCTTCTGTATCCCTCACAGGCTAACCATGCAGATAGAGGAGGCAAAAGGTCATCGCGGAGGTTCCGCTTCATGAGGACGATGATGTCTTTGTTATTTGCGCATCCGCATTTAGTGCAATGTCTATCATACAGCAAGTACTCACTAAATATTGGTGACCCAATGGACAATGAGATTATCATGGTCTTCAGTAAAGGCTCTTTCGAAAGACTGTTTATCAAACAGAGATCGTTGTGGTAGATCTATCAGCAGAAAGGAGGGTGAAGACGAAAAGACTGGAGCTATTTAGAGGGTCTTTAAATTAATTTCTGCTGAAAACAGGTCTTGAGTAGAGAAGGATGGCCTTGAATTCACTAGGTAGCCAAAGAATAACTTTGGATTTCTGATCCTCCCTTTCCCCCGCTTCTGAGAGCTGGGATTACAGGTGTGTGCAGCCGCCATGCCTGCTGAGCTGGTACCTGGGCTCTGTGAATGCGAGGCAAGCAAATTGCCAACTGAGCCATGTTAGCCTAACTAAGGTATACATAGACTCAGGAAACGAGACCTGTGCTTGTACATTTTAACCAGGAGGCCCTGAAACTCATGAACGAAGTGCAAGAACGTCTGGAGGAAGAAGAAAAGTTATGTCAGGCATCTTCTGAAGATTCTTGGGATGGATGCAGGCCATGTTTGGAAAGTAACTGCATACGATTTTATACAGCTTGCCAACCTGGTTGGTCCTCTGTGAAAAACATGGTAAGAAGAAGAGAGTTCACCATTTCAGAGTTCTTAAGGCATCTAGGCCATCTTGATTTTTAAATTATATTAACTTTTAAAATAGAGATGATTGATGATGGGCTTTTGTGATTTAGAATCTATTACCAATGGTGGCCATATATCACCATCTGTGTGTGCACAATTTACAGTTCAAAATAACCGTCAATGTTTATCCCCTGGTTGATTACACTCCGTAACTCCTATAGAAATGCCCAGACTGCATTGTATTCAGTTTGTAGGCAGGTCCCCAGTAGATTGTAAGCCCTTTGACAGCAAGGGTCATATCTTATGTGTCTTCTTTTGAGGGATTATCCAATAAATGACTGTCTAACTGTACTTTCAATCATAATATTATAGTATCTGATTTCAATCTTCTTTAATATTTTATCCTAGAAACCACAAATTTGAATCTCTCTCTCTCTCTCTCTCTCTCTCTCTCTCTCTCTCTCCCTCTCCCCCTCCCTCTCCCCCTCCCTCTCCCCCTCTCTCTCCCCCTCTCTCTCCCCCTCCCCTTCCCTCCTCCCCCCTCCCCCTCCCCCTCCCCCTCCCTCTCTCTCTCCTCCCCGCCTTTTTCCCTTCTTCCCCCAGTTTTCAATTCTACACATAGCCCAAGTTGTCCTCAAATTTAGTATGCAACTGCTGATGACTGATCCTCCTGACTCTACTCCCTAAGTGCTGAGTTACAGATGTGTGCTATAACACTTAGGTACACTGCTCCTTCCCTCCCTTGATTTATGGTACAAGGTCTCCTCTGGAGATGTATCCTAGGTTGACCTTGAGTCTCTGACCCTCCCACCTTAGTCCCCCAAGTGCTAGTATTACAGATGTGCAATACCACACCATCTTTATTTCAGTGGGTTTTTCCTCTTGCATATGTGTGCATAAATGTACATACTTTCAGGTCTCCCTTTGCCCTATCTGTGTGTTCTGGAAGACTGGCGTGTTTTCTTCTTTATGTCCTTTGGTGATGTTCTAGGCAGAAGGATTCACAGAGGGTGATGACCCACATAGGATGAGCTCTGCCCAGTAAAGTCTCTGATTGGCCTGGATTTTCTCCCCCCTCCCCTTCAAGAAGTGAGCTGTATATGAAATGGAATGGAATTTTACTTTTCGTATTAATGTATGCAGTAATTAGAGAATACTTCTGGCCTGGCAGTGCCACATTCAATTACAGAAGAGTAGCCACCAGGATAAGGAATCTGCCAAGCTAATTTGATGATAGTGTTGATTCCATCTGCTCCACTTTTACAGCTATGGTCATTCTCTGATATGCCAGGAATATAATGACATGAGTGTTGGAGACAGATTTGGAGGTCATTCTCCTCTGGGCCTGATATGTAACCTTATGGACATTTCTTGGGACTTGTTTTTGTTTCTGTTATTTTCTGAGATTGGGTCTTGCTCTGTTGCCCAGGCTGCCTCAACTTCTTGGATTGAGTCGTGCCCTCTCCCCTTCAGCCTCTGCAGGAGCTAGAGCTATAGGCATGGGCCACTCTGTCCAGCTTCGAAGTTTTATTTCTATGGATGGACTCAGTAAACAAAAACTGGCAGAGGAAAGGCAGGCAATCCATCCAGATTTCTTTCTCTCTGTAAAAGGCATAGATCCTATACAGATTCCTGGATAATTGTTTGAACAGCAGGAGGCGGATACTCCAGAAGTAATATTCCATAGCTAATAACACTCAACACTTTCTAACTCTGTGAGATAAAGATAACTGTGATCTGCCTAGACTTAAGTATCATATAGTGTAATTGCTGGATAATCATCTTCTACTGAACAGGACTCAAAATTCTGTGACTAGGGTCTTATTCCTTTGAATAGAACAAACTGGACAGTATCATTGTTAATTTACATTTCTCACGAAGTGATCTAGTATACAACTATCCCTAAGCTATATCTGGCCTCTATGGCTCAGTGTAGATGTGTTCATCTTTTTCTTTTCATGAGTTAATTTAGTGATAAGAAGCAGAAGATGAAGACAGTAACATACTATTAAATAATCATAAATGACTATAATAACTAGGAAGATAGAAGCATTCTTTATAGTTCTAAGACAAGTTTTACAGTACCCTGTAATCGATGACCTGCCAGCTGCTGTAAAAATATCTGGTTATGGCTTCTCTACTATACTTTGACCTTTTTAGCCTTCTGTGAACAAATCTAAACCAGGAGGAGTTTCAGGTCCCATTTTCACAGTTAAAGTTAGGACCAGCTATAAGACTGGCATATATCATATCAAAGTCAACAACCTTTTCCTAGTTTATACAGAACTTAATTTCGAATGACTACCATAAATTTTAATTTTTTCAGTAATAAGTGGAATAGGAAAGAAAATCTTTATTTTTATTCCATGTCTCACTCTACCCTACAGATGGAGCAATTTCTTAAGAAGATATACCGATTTCTGTTTACCCACAGTGAAGACGTAAAGGATCCCCCTGCTGTAGAAGAGTTGACTAAGGAAGACTTACAAGTGGTACATATAGAGAACCTGTTCAGCCAGCTGGCTGTGGACGTGAAATCTCTGTTCAACATGAGTTTTTACATTTTTAAACAGATGCAGCGAGAATTTGACCAGGCCTTTCAGTTATACTTCATGTCCGATGTGGACTTAATGGAGCCATACACCCCAGCTTTGTCTCAAGAGATAACCAAAAAGGAAGAACCTGGGCAAAGATGGGACGTGCCTAGTGTCTTCCAGCTGTTCCATAATTTCAGTCTGTCTATATATGGAAGAGTCCAACAAATAATAACGAAGACAGTCGGTGCAATTGAAGATTCATGGCAACCACACAAAGGCCAGTTACTAATGACCCCTCTTTTCTCTCTCCCTTTTTTCTCCCCTTTTCTCTCTTGCTCTTTCTCTCTCTCTCTCTCTCTCTCTCTCTCTCTCTCTCTCTCTTTCTTCTTCCTTCCTTCCTTCCTTCCTTCCTTCCTTTCTTCCTTTCTTCCTTTCTTTCGCTTTTCTTGTGTTATGTGCTGGTGCTGACATGTTCACATATTTGCTGGTGAACATGTGGTATGTTGCCCTATATGCATGGACATATGCATACAGAAGCCAGAGATCAGCCTTAAGTGTTACTCCTTAGCAGTGCCTATCATGTTTTGAGATAGGGTCTCTTACTAAGGCCTGGGGCTCACTGATTTGGTTAGACTGCCTGACCAACACGTCTCAGGGATCACCTTGTCTCTGCCTCCCCAGCACTGGTGTTATAAGTAGGCACATGCCATCACGCCAAGCTCCTAATAGGGTGCTGGGAACTCAGGTCTTTATGCTTGAATGTTAGGCATTCACTGACTAAAGTATCTCTCTGGGCTCCTTTTCTTTCTCCCATTCCCTTTGCCAATTTTTGCTTGTTTGTTTTTTCGAGATAGGATTTTTCTGTATCCATGGCTGTCCTAGAGCTTGCTTTGTAGACCAGGCTGGCTCAGAGTGATGTCCAACTCTGCTGTGATTAAAAACGTTTGTCACCACAACCCTTTCCCACTTTCCAAGTACTGTCATTAAAAGTACACGCTGCCACACTGGGCTTTTTTCATGAGTTCTAGTATTCAAACTTTGATCCTCATGCTTGCGTAGTAAGCATGACACTAAATTAACCACCTCCCCTGCCCTGTATGGTGAAATTCCAGGAGTGTTTATGTGCGAATGTTGTATTCCCTACAGGGTTAGACCAGAGAGGTATGACTTCAGAGATGTTACCTGAGAGAAATGGAGAAATGTGTGAGGAATTTGCCAAGAATTTATCTGGATGTTTAAAATTTCATAAGGGATGCCAAGAATGTCATCATTACCTATCTGAAGGTAAATAGTTATTGTTTTATCATGTCTTTCATGTGTGTGCATTGTTATGCTCATGTGTGTGGGTACCTACCTGTGTACACATAGCCTGTGTGTGCAAAGATCAGAGGACAACCTTAGGTGCTATTTCTCAGGTGGTAACTACTCTTTTCTTTGTTTGAGACGTGGTTTTTCACTAGTCTGGAACTCACCAAGTAGTCTTAGTTGGCCAGCCAGTGAGCTGCAGGTCTCATCTTCTCCAGAGTGGGAATTATAAGCACCACTAAGTCTGGCTTTTTAAAATTGAGTTATGGAGATTAGACTGTTAACAATTGAGCTAACTCCTGGCCCTGTTTTTGCATTCCTGATTCTATCTAAGGATGTTCCTTGTAAAGGTTTACAAATAATTACCCATCCAATGTATGTAATTAATCCTTTTATTTTCCTCAATTCTATTACTGTGGATTTTTTGTATGTATGCTTAAAGACTAAAGAAACACAAATATATACAGAAGAGAAAAATACAATCAAATTGGATTAACTTCCTTTTGCTATAAAGAAAAGGGAGATCCGCTGACGAAGAAAAAATGGAAGTAGAAGGTAATGTTTAGATAAAAATATAGTTCTTTCCATTTAGATTACTCCATTAATATTTAAATAGAGACAGTGGCTCTCAAGTTCCAAAAAGATTTTTTTTTTTTTTTGGCCAAGCTCTGTCTAAGAATGACATGGCTTTCCAGCCTTTCAGCCTCCCCTCATTTTTGTCTTTCCCTTAACTCCCTCCAAAGCCCCAGAGACAGACTGACAGACTGACAGACTGTAAATTCTAGCCTCCTCCTTTAAGTCATTTACCACACTTTTAAGTGTTCCTTCCAGGGGCTTTAGAAAACTGTTCTGCTATCAAAAACCAGGAGCTAACACTGATATGTTGCAAGGCAAAAAAAAAAAAATTATTTTTATGGTCATGTGAGACTTACACTCTCCTCAGGAGTAGGAGAATGAAAGTGGCTCAGACCAGAAATAGAAAGGGCTTTTCGTGGCAAATGAGAAAGTGATTAAAAAAACAGAATTTTGCAGTTATTTTTATGATCAGAAAAAAAGGTATATGTTATGGGGTTATGGTCAGAAATGTTATGGGTTGATAGTCAGACAGTTAACGTACCATGAAACATTTTATGGTTAGTCAATTCTCAGAATAATGAAAACAATTTACAATGTGTAGTTCACAAGATTATTGGGGAAGAACAACAACAACAACAACAACAAAAAAATAAAGTTGACCTCTAGCTAAGGACACAATCAAAGTTTAAAATTGTTTAAAAGGAAAAATGGAGTCAGCTGTCCCTTAACAAAAACAAGAGCAGTTTTTTTATTCCTATGCCCCTTGGAGGGAACACTTAAAGGTGTGGTTAATGACTTGAAGGAGGAAGATAGAGGGTAACACCAAGAACGCTGTGAATGAATGTCTTCATAAATTATCCAACAATATTAGCAGAAGGCGAGTCTGTTTCACTGTCTAGGACTGGGATGGTTATCATTTTTATTGTCACCTGGATTGAATTTAGAATCACTGTGCACACATGCATCTATGTGTGGATATAGTGTTTCTAATAACGTTTAAGGGAACGGGAAAGACCAACCGTGAATGTGGACAGCACCATCCTTACAGGCTAGGAGTTTGGACTGAAAGGAGGAAAGAGAGTTAACAGCACCATTTACCTCTGCTCCCTGGATGAGAACTCTGTAACCAACTGCCTCATTATGCTCTGGTCAATATGCCTTCTCCCCTATCATGAGTTAAACCCTCAATTGTGAGCCAAGGTAAACCCTTCCCTTAAAATGCTTTTGCAAAGTAACTGTCAAGACTGAGAAGAGTAACTAACAGAAGGACTCAATGGGAATAATCTCTAATTAAAGGGCTGACTTAGCTTTCAGTGCATGAAACAGAAACCTATGAAAGAGCACTGCTTGCTGGCTTGCTCACAGCCTCAAGTGTAGCTAGCATTTTTATACAGCCCAGGACTATCTGCCAAGGAGATGGTGCCACCCACAGCAAGCTGGGTCTCCTAGGTCAATTAATAATCAAAATAACCTCCTACAACATTCTCACAGGTCAATCTGATCTAGGAAGATCTTTTCTTAGATAATTCTAGTTGGAGTCAAATTGATAAGCAAAGCTTAACTAGGGTTCTCTGTCGCTTGTCAATTTGACACAAACAGATCTCTTTTTAACTCTAACCTTCTCTTCCTTATCCCCAAGAGGTCATGTTAATATCATAATAGAAAATACAACCTAGCTTTTAAAAGTTCTGCGCGCTTTAAAAAATTCCATGGCCCTTTAAAATTTCAAGGTCTCTTTCTTAACTATGGGCTCATTTTTTATAAGTTGCATTCTTTCTTATTCCAAAAGATTAAAAAAATGGGGAATAAGAATAATCAGGTTAATGCAAAACGAGAGTCCAGCAGCTTGAGTCTAAATCCTGGAGCTCAACGTCCATCATCTGAGACTTACTCTTCTGACTCCGAAAGGCCTGTCTGCATCACGCTCTGTTCACATCTGCATCACACTCCTCTGTTCACATCTGTATCACACTCCTCTGTTCACACCGTGGCCTTAGGTGGGCTCCACTCCACATAACTGTTGTCTTGGCAAATGCCCCACGGTCCTGGCATCTCCAATAACCTGGGGACTTGCACTGTAAGTGAGACTGTGAACCTTCACCAGTGACTTCTTCTGGCCCCTGGAGAGACTCTGATCCTTTGGAATGGTGCCAACCCTCCACTCCTCTCTGTGACCATGTCCTAGCTTCAAAACCAATACCACCCGGGCAACTCAAAACATAGCCTGCTCCTCTCGGGCCAACTCTGAAGAAATACTTTTTTATTGTTCCACTGAAACAAACAGTTTTACTCAATGGCACCGATATCTTGTAAACCAAAGCTCATTCTCAGTTAGCTTTCTCCCGGCCTCATGCTGTGGACAAAGATGGAAGGCCTCAGCTACAACTCCAGCAATATTCCACCTGCTGACATACTCCCTGCCATGACGGTCATGAACTCACTCTTAACCCTTCGAAACTGCAAAAACCTCTCATAAACTCTTCTATAAATTGCCTTGGTCAGGTGTCTTCTTATCACAGCAGTAGAAAAGAAACTAAGACACTACCATTGAAGTAGAAACTATAGAGGAATGCCAATTGTTGGTTTGCTAACAGCCTTATGCCCTGCTCACCCCATTTTTTTTTTTTTTTTTTGAGACAGTAGCTCTCTATATAGTCCTGGCTGTCTTGGACCTCTCTCTCTCTCTCTCTCTCTCTCCCTCCCCCCCTCTCTCTCTTCTCTCTCTCTCTCCTTCTTTCTCTCCCCTCTGCTTTATTCTCTTTTCTCTTCAACACAATTCATAGGCATTTTCTCAGCTCCTCTTTTAGAACAAAATATATCCACTAACTAAATGGGTTTACCTATTTCTCCATATCCCCCTTCAACCATATGTCTACCTTACCTTAGAATGTGTGTCAGAAAATTTTGACACCTAGAATCTGTCTTGATAGGAGAGCCTTTGGAAGATAGTACTTTCCATGTTCTTGATTATAAACCACTGCACCCCACATCCCTGGAGCTTTGGTTATCTAAAGCTGCTGAGGTTTGTTCTTCCTGAATTGTTGACTGGGTAAATGAACTGCTGTTTTATCATTTAAAATTGGGGGCAACAGATCCATTTCATTAACAGGTCTTTTGAGTATTAAATAAAAATGGCCTGAAGTATCAGTGACTTATTATTCAAGCATTTTCAAAGTCATTTGCCTACTAAGTGCTGGGATTATATGAGATTATTACCACAACCCTGTAAAATTTGCCTTAATATATTATTTATTATTTATTTTTATCTTCAGTCTAGTTTGTAAGATTTATCTCAGTGAAAAATATCTTACTCACAATCATTAATATTCATTATTTATGTTGGTGTGTATTGGACTATTATAATCCATTCTCCAGCTAAATGCATATGCTGGCTAGTTTTATGTCAACTTGGCACAAGGTAGAGTCATCAATGAGGAGGGGGCCTCAACTAAGAAAATGTCTCTATATGAACAGGCTGTAGGCATCGTAATTAATTAATTAATCACTTAGTAAATGATTGATTGCAAAGTGCCCAGCCCACTGTGGGTGGGACCACCTCTGGCCTGGTGGTCCTAGGTTCTATAAGAAAACAAGCTGAGCAAGCTATAAAGAGCAAACCAGTGAGCAGCACTCCTCCTCAGCCTCTGCATCAGCTCCTGCCTCCGGGTTCCAATCCAGATTGAATCCCTGTTTTGACTTCAGTGATGAACACTGCTGTGCAATTGTAAACCAAATGAATACTTTCCTTCTAAGTTGCTTTTGGTCACGGTGTTTCATCACCTCAATAAAAACCGAACTAAGGCACTACCTTAAGTTTTTTTTTTCAAAGTTTTGCTATTACCAAACACGCAAACAGAAAACTATTTGAGTAGAGCACAGTAGCCCGTATGCCTGTAATCTCAGCACTTGAGAGATAGAGCTAAGAGGAAAGTTTAAGACCAACCTGATTGGCATAGCCAAGTTCTGGTTCAAGCTGGTCTACCAAATTGAGAACCGGTCCTCCAAAACAAAACAAGGTCCACTATCATATATTTTATCAATCAATTCTATGAGCAATCCCATAGCTATCATTATATCATATTTGAAACATGTAATAGAAGATATTTTTTAAAACACCACTGGTCATGATTTTCAGTCTTACTATGCATTTTTCGTCCCAGTCTTGAGTAGATTCGCATTTCTTACACCTCTGTTGGACTTACACATTTAAATTTCCCTGTTTGACAGGACAGAAAGAATGTGCCATGGAAGGGAGAAAGGAGCGGCTTCTGCTTTAGTCCAGTTTTGGGGGGTAAGGGTTAATAGTCAACAGGGCTTGCCCTATCCAGCTGTTGGTCTAGTCCTGAGCCACACCCCATGAACTATCCCCCATTAAAGTATAGGTGTTAGGCATATGAGACTTTTAACAAGAAATCCTTTATAAAATATTTTTATTAGGCAATTTGCACTTTGATTTCTTTCTTTATTTCTTTTTCTTTCTTTCTTTTGGGGGGGTGGTTTGAGACAGGGTTTCTCTGTGTAGACCTGGCTGTCCTGGAACTCACTCTGTAGATCAGGCTGGCCTCGAACTCAAAAATCTGCCTGCCTCTGCCTCCCAAGTGCTGGGATTAAAGGCGTGCGCCACCACTGCCCGGCTGCACTCTGATTTAATAATCTCAACATCATATGAGTAGTTTTTTCCTTTTTGTAGTTTTTCCTTTTTTCTTTTCCATTAATTACTTTATTTGTTCACTTTACATCACGATCGCAGTCCCCATCTCTTCCCAGTGGCCACCTCATACAGTCCCTCCCTCATTTCCCCCTTCTCTTCTTCTCTGAGAAGGGGAAGGTCCCTCCCCATGGGTACCAACCCACCCTGGCACATCAAGTTGCTGCAGGTCTAGGCACATCCTCTCCCACTGAGGCCAGACAAGGCACCTCAGTTAGGGGAACAGGGTCCACAGACAAGCAACAGAGTCAGGGACAGCCCCTGCTCCAGTTGTTGGGGAACTCCAAGCTGCACATATGTAGCAGATGTGCAGGGGGCCTAGGTCCAGCCCATGAATGCTGTTTGGTTGGTGGTTCAGTCTCTAGGAGGCCCCAAGGGTCCAGGTTAGTTGACTCTGTTGCTCTTCTTGTGGAGTTCCTAATCCCTCCAGGTCCCTCAGTCTCTCCCCCAACCCTTCCACAAGACTCCCTGAGTTCCATCTAATATTTGGCTGTGGGTCTCTGCATCTGTTTTGGTCATCTGCTGAGTGGAGCCTCTTAGGGGACAGCTTATGCTAGGCTCCTGTCTGCAAGCATAACGGAGTATCATTAATAGTGTCGGGGATTGGTTCATGCCCATGGGCCAGTTATTGGTTGGCATTTCCCTCAGACTCTGTTCCATCTTTGTCCCTGCACAAATTTAGAAGTTCTTTTCTTTATCTACCCACGTCTGCTCTATAAAACCATATAATTAACTAAACCAGGTCTCATTTGAAAGTGATCTCAGCAATATTGCTTATTACAAACAACAAGCATTAACTAAGAACTCTGTATCTTAAGCTTGTGCCGTCCACGTCCAAGTTTTCTGGACCTTTTCCTCACTATTTCTTTACTTTTTGCTAGACTGCCCTGATGTACCTGAACTACACATAGAATTCCTTGAGGCCTTGAAATTAGTCAATATATCCAATCAGCAATACGATCAGATTGTCCAGATGACCCAGTATCATCTGGAAGACACCACATACCTGATGGAGAAGATGCGGGAGCAGTTTGGATGGGTGTCTCAACTGGCAAGCCATAACCCACTGACTGAAGACATCTTTAATTCAACAAAGGTAGGGACCTCAGAGCAGAAATGAGACGTGCTACCTCTATCCTGCTATTTACTTACTGATTACAGCTAAATTTGAAAACAAGGTGGAGAAGTACACATAACTCCACTGTGGTTGTATCTAAGCCCACTGGAGTTAATGTTGTTCATGGTCTAGAAAGCTGGATATGGTGGCTCATATCTTTTACATCACCTACTGTTAAGACTAAGTTAGGAAGAGCTTTAGTTCAAGGTTTTGAATGGGCTACACAGTGAGTTCTGTGCCAGCCTAGACAACTTAGAGAGACCCTGTCTCAAAACAAAACAAAAGAAAAATGTAAGAGGACTAGAAATGTAGCTTAGTGGTGGATTTGCCTAGCATTTCTGGGTCCTGTAAATAAAGTCATAGCATAGATGCAGTTTAAGATGATAGTATGTTTTTAGATGATATTTAACTTTAAAACATTTTTAGATCTATTTTATGTTATGTGTATGGGTGTTTTGCTCACATTACATCTGTGTAACAAGTGCAAGTGCATGCCTGGTGCCTGAGGTCAGAAGAGGGCGTCAGACTTCCTGGAACTGGCTTTATGGACAGTTGTGAACTACCATGTGCTTCCTGAAAAATCAAATCTGGATCTTCTGCAAGAACAAGTGCTCTTCTTAACCACCGAGTCACTAATATTTAGTTCTCCAGCCCTGATATTTAATTCTTAAGATGGCTTTGGTGGTTTGAGTAAGTATGGCCCCAAAGACTCATGATTTTGAATGCTTGGCTCACAAGGAGCAGCACTATTAGGAGGTGTGGCTTTGTTGGAGTAGGTGTTGTCTTGTTGGAGGAAGTGTGTCACTGTGAAGGCAGGCTTAGGTCATATATGCTCAAGCTATGCCCAGAGTGGTACGCACAGTCTCCTTTTGCTGCCCACAGATCAAGATGCAGAACTCTCGGCTCCTTCTCCAGCACCATGCCTGCCCTGATGCTGCCATGCTTCCCACCATGATGATAATGGACTAAATCTCTGAAACTATAATTCAGACCCAATTCAATGTTTTCCTTTATGAGAGTTGCCTTGGTCATGGTGTCTCTTCACAGAAATAAAACCTTAACTAAGACAGTGGCTTAGTTTATTGTATCAAAAAGCATAAGTGTTGAAATTTACTTTTTTAAAAAACTAAGGAACTGCACTCTGTTTTCAGGAAAATATTTTAAGATAGCTTCCATTATTCCCATCGTAGTGGAAAAACAGGCCTAGAAAGGTTAAAGACCATTTCCAATATTTCTCAGCTTTTAAGGTTTAGAATCTAATTTAAAATTTTTATTTACTTTATGTATATGGATGTTTTGCCCAAATTTATGTCTGTATATCTCATATATGCTTGGTCCCTAAAGAGGCTAGAAAGTATCAGATCCCCTGGAGCTTTAGTTAAGGAAGGCTGTAAGCCTCCATATGATGCTGAGAGTCATACATAGGTCCTCTGCAAGAACAGCAATTTTGCTGCATAAAACAGTGGCTGACTCTTTGTCTTGAGCCATGCATGCCCACAACCACACACAAATTGCCTTAATTATACAAGTATATATTTGTCTACACAAAATACATATTTGTACATAATAAAATATATCAAGTATATAATATAATAAAATATAAAAAATTTTATAACCCCACATTGATTCTCATTGGGTTAGCATTGGCATGCTACAGTCCTAAAAAGACCTGGGTACAAAAAACACTAACAGCTAAATATGCAACAGACTGTAGTATGTGATGTTCTGTAGAGAGACAGAACTAATAGAGTGAATAAATATTGCAAAAGGGATTTATTATAGTAACTTACATGATATACACTGGATAGTTTAACAATGGTGGTCTACATATTTAAGAGGCTAAGAACCAGTAGTTACTCAGCCCACCAGGCTTAAAGCATCAGCAACCCCCTCTAGTATTGAAGGCACTGAGGATTCCTGGAGAGTCATTGGTCTTCAGTCCACATTGGAAGCTAAAGAATCTAGGTTTTGATAGCAACAGAGGATAGCAGTGGTGGTGGCAGCAGCAACAGTAGAGCAGATGTACTCACCAGAAAGGAGTGAAGGTAGACAGGCAAAAAGCAACAGCTTTTTCCTCTGATCTCTTTATATGAGGGAAGCTGCAGGAAAATACCACCCCCTTGAAAGGAGGGTCTTCCCCTACAATTATCCTATACAGGAAATACTACCACAGATGCATCAGAGGCATGTATCTCAGGTGATTTCAACTCCATCAAGTTGATATCAAGGTTAAGCAACCCAGTGCCGTAGTTGGGTTTCTACTACAATCTCCTGTTCTAGCCACTGTGTTTCAGAATTTTCTTGTGGATCTAGGTGCAGCTAGAGATGTCTTGCAGCAATGTCTCCTTTAGCATTCTGGTCTTTTCCAGGTTGCTTTGCTAATCCCCTTAAAGGTTTCACCTGAGAGCATCCCTTTAGCAATCATGTTGGAACTTCAGCCTATTTTTAGTGAATCTGACATGTTGCTCTTTGACAACCTGCAAGTTGTATCCCATGCATAGTTTAAAAACTAAGTTTAGATACTCACAACAAACACAAAGGAAAAAAAAAGTTAAGCGTTGTGGCAAATGCCTGCAATCTTCTCAGCACTTAAGAGGTAGAGGCAAGAGGATCAGGAGTTCAAGGATGGCCTCAGATATGGAAGACTGTCTCAAAAAAATCAAAACAAGCCTCGTGTGGTGATGCACATCTGTAGTATCAGCAGTCTAGAAGTTGAGGCAAGATGATTTCATAGAGTTCAAGACTAGTCTGGGCTATATTAACAGATGCCAGAAAAGCTAGGGCTACAAAACAAGACTGCCTCATCCCATCCCTATAAGTCAGGATCTGAGCACCGCAGGCCATGAGACAGATGGGATGAAAGAAAGAAAGAAAGAAAGAAAGAAAGAAAGAAAGAAAGAAAGAAAGAAGGAAGGAAAGAAGGAAGGAACGAAAGAAGGAAGGAACGAAGGAAGGAAGGAAAGAAGGAAGGAAGGAAGGAAAGAAGGAAGGAAGGAAGGAAAGAAGGAAGGAAGGAAAGAAGGAAGGAAAGAAGGAAGGAAAGAAGGAAGGAAAGAAGGAAGGAAAGAAGGAAAGAAGGAAGGAAAGAAGGGAGGAAGGGAGGAAAGAAGGGAGGAAAGAAGGGAGGAAAGAAGGGAGGAA